TATTCTAAAAGATATCTTCTGAAGACGCTTTACGACGCTTGTTGTCACTTGTTGACGTTTTTATAAAGACCCGTAATTATTACAACTCTACCAAGTCTACATTCTGATCTCCCAGAGTTACTGCCCTTCGTTTCATATGGTTGTAAGCCGATGGGGTTCGAGAATACGAAGTCTGCGTGGGATAGACCAAGTCAGAGGCCAGCATTCGAACCTACAGAGTAGCAAACGTGCAATCAGACTAGATTTTCGGTTGGTGTTATTTATACTATAACAGATTTTTGTCCGTCATTTCATTGTAGCAAAATTAAACCCGCATATATGTTACATGAATGAAACGCATCTACCCATGGCATGACCGTGATCAGATCCAAAACAACTACCATCAGCTTATATTTCTGTTTTTCACCTGCCTGTGACTCGTATGAAAATTTCACGTATGTTTCTAAGGTAAAACCTTACAATAGTGACGGACCCTTGTGATTAAACGCGAAAAGTCATTTCATTGTCTATTGACTTAAAAAAACAGGACCGGCTTTTTAATATTGTTGTTTGTGCAGCCGATCGTGAAAGGTCAGAAACTGAGGCGGTGTACCTAATGAGTGTCATGGGAAGATTATATGTCCTGGGAGTGCCTTAAATGACTTTTTTTTCTACGCCCAGCAGTTCACAAATTGCTGTTTTTTTTAAGTATTTATTTTTGTATTAAAGTAAGATTATTTCTATCTGTGAACTGTTTGTATTTTAAACAATGAATTATTTGTACATTGTAGATTGGAGATTGCCAGGTCGTGCGATATTTGTGAGTAAATGTTGTATATGTACACGTGTCTTGGTCATTTAAATGTTTGTACATATATCGTGTAAATGATCATGTGTGTTGAGAATGAGAATTTGTGTCATGGTCAATAAAATAATTTGTCTAGAAAAATAAATTAATTAAATATTCCTAAAAAGAAAAAACAAAATTAATATTTCGCCAACGCAAATGTCGAGAACTGTAACATGATTTCATACAATGGTAGATTAGACTATATCATTTTTATTCATCATAAATCACACATTGAGTACTTGTAGTTTATAAACGACTTTTATAATGATATGTTCAGTCTACTTATTCACGCTGTTCTCACGTTAAATCTGTTGACAAAGAGGTTTCAACTGGTTTCTTTGCATTTTTGAAAAATGGCTCGGAAACGGAAATGGAGAATTGATACGGGTTCCTCATAACAAAGAATATATGTAAATCGTAGCGTTTCCCCCCTCCCCCCCCCCTCTCTCTCTCTCTCTCTCTCTCTCTCTCTCTCTCTCTCTCTCTCTCTCTCTCTCTCTCTCTCTCTCTCTCCCTCTCTCTCCCTCTCTCTCTTTCGGCATCGGATAATGCATCATTGCGCAAAATAGATTATTACCGTTGTTTGAGTACGAGTTCTCTCCCTTGCATTGATGACAAGATATTTTGATACACGTTCTAGTAGTCTCTTCTACATTCATTACAAGAAATTAGTATGTTTTAGCAGTTAATGCCATCATAAATCTCTATAAACCATTAAGTTATTTCACAGAAATATAGTCAGAGCTATTTCATTGTCAGCTTGAATCAAAGAAAAATAATTAACTAGACAGATCTACCCCTGTACGTCCATCTATCATGAAAATGATGTAGAGAGAGAGTGTGTGTGAAATGCTGTGCCTTTGTATCTAACTACCGCAATTGCATGCATTGAACGTGATTTGAAGCGTAAGTTTTTCTTTATAAATATTCAAACGTCAAATTAAAGTAATGTAGCGTTTTCAAATCGGTTCGATGTCAATGTAACTAACAGCGTTACAGGTACAACAAACCATAGATTATAAAGCACTCACAAGATGCCATGCGATATAATTCTCCGTCAACATTTCGAAACCCCGTTTTCATTGACATCTAACACGAAAATGTATAACGATATGTCATAAAAAAAAGTCCCTGCGGAATGCAAAATTAAATTACGACAATAGTATGACATTTTATAACAGCTAATGGTATCGGTATCATTGCTATTCAGCTTGTGAATAAAATTCAAAATAAGCAGAGATGTATCATGTCTTCAAAGAGACTGGTCGTGATACGACTGCGATCAACTTGGTTAAAGCATTACATGATTGAAAGCTAACTCCCTTCAACCACCAACATATCGAAATTTACAAGGGATTTGAGTTAACTCAGTCACTTTAAAGTAATTGCAAATATGGTATTTTCAACCGCAAAATCGAGTAATAAATTCCACTCCTTTCTTTCTTTTTCCAGGTGTGACGTCTTCATCGCCCGCAATGACCTGGTGGACAAAACCTCCACTAAGATGGATAGTGACCTGGTTCTATTTATTTCGACTGTGTTTCATGTTAACGATGATATTTTTCTCTGCGGTGCTGTTTAGCATCCCCATTCTTGATAAAGTTTTATTGAGATTCATGAAGAAATTTCCGTATCCGGGATTAGAACAATTAGACCTATATCCTACCTTCTCCATGCTTCGTGAACGTTTCTGGCCATTGGTATATGACTCGTGGTCACGTGAGATTCAGGTCGGGGGAAAGGTTAAAGACACGGATTTGTATGACCCCTTGACCAAAACTGTCGTGAAGCTGCTAAGTTTTCAAAAGTCAGGACGCCCTCTGGTATTGAACTTTGGAAGCTGCTCATGACCCCCGTTTCTGGTAACTCTCGCGGAGTTCAAGCAGGTAGTCCGAGAGTTTGCCGACATAGCCGACTTCATAACCATTTATATCGCAGAAGCACATGCTTCAGATGGATGGAAAATTGAAAATTTTTCGGATATCGATAAGCACAAAACGTTGGATGACCGTGTGAAAGCATCCGACAGACTTCGGACACGCGACATGCCGTGTCCGGTACTAGTAGATCCAATGGATGACCAAAACAGCAAGATATATGCCGCGTTGCCGGAAAGGTTGTATATAATATATGGTTCCACTGTGGTGTACGCCGGAAGCTGGGGTCCATTGAGTTATAAACCAAGCCAAGTAAAATCATGGCTCCAGAAGTTCAGAAACGATAATTAAACAATAACAAATCTGGTCAATTAGTACCGGACCTTAGAAGGTGAACAAGGCCGTGTTCCCACACAGCTCGCATGTAAATTCGGGGACATCTCATTATATTTATTGATTTGAACCAAAATGTATTTTTTGGATATAAAGACAACCAATGACAGTTGAAAGACAAACTTGACAAAATTTAAAGGAACTTTCGCAGCAAGGAAGAGGTTGATCAACAAACGCAACTAATTTATAGGATGACTTGTGACGGAGTAAAAGAAAAATCTCACTCCGGACAACGATGGTTATAATCATATGGTTGTATACTGTTGATAGGTATATAAAGGTATGGTCTGTATATACGCTGCTCGATCCGGTTGTTGTTAACATTGATTTGAGAAGGTGAATTTCAGAATTCACCGCAATGTGAAAGCTGTGTGCAGGGTAGTACAAAATATGGACATTGGCCAGTTCACTTTAATTACATTACATGAGATTGCACAAAATGCCGAGAAAAAACTATTATGAAAAAGTCCCCGCAAACTTTTTACTCTCTTATTAAATCATATTTTCGTCTTCTCACATCCTCATAGCTATATGGGGACACTATATCTTATTGCTGTGGGGACATATCTGTGACATCCTTGCACACACAGTTAAATATGTTCCGACAAAGATTATCAATCAAATCAAAAACTGACCCAGATTTATTCAATACTTCGGATAGTTTGGGGGTGATAAACACTTGACACTACCACGTGTCTGTGTGAAATCCATGTCCCCTCAGTTACGGTAAAATGACGGAAAGACAGAGAAAGAAAGGGGAAGAGGGAAAGAAAGAGGAAAGGAGGGAAAGAAAGAGAGGGGGTAGGGGGAAGGGGTGGGTGGAGTGGGGGCGGGGGTTTATTAGCAAACTCTACACAATCGGGAACTCGCGCCAGTTTATGGAGACTTAATCCAGGAACAAGTCTGAATAAAATGATCCCAACTGATTTGCAATATTCCTAATTCAATGAGATTACCGTCGTTTAGGAATCATGGGTAAATTTCCATTCGGTATGTATTTGCCCTCTACATAGGTATTGAATTATGGAGAGAACACAGCAATTTACGGGGAAGAAACGCAGAGTAGTATCTCATTTTATTTGCTTATACCAATACGAGAAAATCACTTTTTTTGTATCAATGAGATTCAAATATAAGTCAGATAATATATCTATATGATATATACATACTTATTACATATATTTAGTGCACGAACCGACTTTTAGAGACGTTACTCCCTCTCCAAGCTTGCTGACCATTCCACTCCCCTCGTGTCCAAGAACCATCGGCTTCTTGACCACAAAGTCACCAATTTCTCCATGTTGCCAGAAATGAACGTCTGACCCACAAATTCCGACTTGCTGCATACATAATTGGACCTCTGTAGGAAGGGTATTAACATGATTCATTATCTTGTGGTATATTTCTTTATTTTATCCGTACTTTAAAATCCAAATTTGATAATAACGGCTCAAATCGATATACAATGTATTTGAACATTATTTTTATTTATTTTTTTGTTTATTTTTTTCAATTCTTGCTGCACTATCATGATCTAATTAACTCAAAATATTGTGTTAGTTACGCTTGAAAGGATAAGTTTATTACAATATAGAAAAAAGCAAAACATAACTGAGAACTTTGAAAATTTTACCAATATCAAGAACATGCGTGGTATTCTCCCCCTCCTCCAAACACACCATGTAAATTGTAAGTCGTGATATAAAGTGTTGTTTGGGGAAATAACAGGTTCTTAGTTGATAAAACGTATCAAGTCTTTCGGAAATATCTCGTTAATCGGCGAATAGAATGGCTTGTTTAGAATGCGTATAATACATCGACATGTAGACTATATAAGACGAAGAAGCTCACCTCCTGGGCCTGGCTCTTGGATGGGTCGTTCTACCTAAAAATATAACAAGATATCCCAGAGGGAGTTTGGCATCCACAATTGTTTTATCTTTATTTGTTCTTCTCATTAGTTCTTTCGTTTGGCTTCTGTCCTCTGTTTTCTTCATATATAAAGTTTAATATTTTTGTAAGAACTAACGAAAATTATATTTAACTGTTAAATACAAGATTTTTTCTGGTTATTCTGACACAACTATGGAGTAAGGGTGTGGAATGTAAGGAAGATCAATCTGTTGCATGTAGTTCTACAGAAATAGTGGTGACAAAGTAAGCACCTTCGCAGGTGCACTTATGTAACATCTTTAAGTAACTGGACTACCACACAACACATACATCCGCATGGTCACAAACAAGAGAAACCGTGCCCTTAGCATGGGGCGCTGTAGAAATACAGTAGGATCTGTAAGTAGCCATACACACAGCATTACGTGTGCGGTTCTACAGACGCGTCACCTTCGCAGGTGCACTTATGTAACATCCTTAAGTACCATAATAGGTTAAGACGTAGCGTGCAAGAAAAGGTCACACGACACATACGTAAAGTGTCTTATCTCCGAACAGTCATTTATCTCGGATTGCACAGTCGGAAAAAAATACAAGATCTTATCTAATATTTTAAAAATATCTAAACACTATGTTTCTTTACGCCATCTTTCATTCATTCTGTAGTAAGTGTTTCAGTATACACAATATAAATACCTTAGGATAAAACTACAACTTATTTAGTTTTTGTGTTTGATTTTCAAACGTTAATCTAGCTAGTATTAAGGTTCAATAGCATGATTTTAGCTGCTGTGAGGATCAGGGTATAACTAGACAAGTAGTATATTGATTGCCGACCAAGATCTAGATCTCTGTTGGATTTTTGGGATGTGTTTTTAATACGAAAGTATATATTGAAAGCCTGTTTCGGGTACCGTGCAAGCTACTGCAATGACCTTAAAAATGGAAGGATGAAAATACCGTTTGAAAATGATTACATATCATTTATTAGCAGCCAATGATGGAGGTATCCAGATTTTTCGTCATTTGGAACAATTGTTCTTCTGTAAATCATAACAAGAGTCAAACTGTTTTGAAACTGAAGAGAGAGAGACAGAGACAGAGAGACACAGAGAGAGAGAGAGAGAGACAGAGAGAGAGAGAGACAGAGAGAGAGAGACAGAGAGACAGAGAGAGAGAGAGGTGTTTTGAAACGCTTATCTAAATCCACGTATATGTATATGCATTTCAAAGAACAGAGAGTTATGGTAATGTCTTGTCACAATAATATATTTTGATTCACATGTGCGTTTGATAGAAATAAACTAAACCTTGCCTTTGTTTCAGCAATAACAAGCAGGTAAACACTGTTTGTTATTGCTAACTAGTATTAAATGAAATGTACCTGTGTTTCTAAACTAACTTAGTAGATATATTACAATGTCATAGTTTCGATTATGACACATATGGAACCAACTATGATGTTTATATGACGAGACAGGTCCTTTTCGAAACTATCGGCTAAATGATTAAACTGGTACATATAAGACAATATCATCTTATTACTTACCATTTGTATTTCGCCTTTTTTGTAGAGAAGTACACTTAAATTCTGGTCAGACATGATGGCTATAAATATACCTGACTGTATATAAGGATCAGCGTGTCCCTTTACTCTAGATCTGTGTAAGATATGAGAACAGTACGGAAGCCGGTTAGTGCCACTTTTTTCATGAGTTAAATTTTTTTAAGTCGTAATTACGAGATACCTAAGTCGTAAATCATTCTGGAAAATATTGAATGAAATAGATGGAACCTCTACAGATCAAAATACTGATATTAAACTTGACGATTTGTATGAGTATTTCAAAAACCTTAATAAGGGAGGCAACTCCGACGAAAGTTTTGATATCGATGACGTAAATGACGGCATGTTTGATGAGGTTCTAAACGGTGAAATTACTACAGATGAAAATAAACAGTCCGTTAAAAGTCTGGATAATAACAAGGCGAGTGGGGCCGATGGAATGATCAATGAATATATGAAAAGCACACTTGAATTATTTGTACATGTATATCATAAGTTGTTTAATATTATATTAAATGCCGCACGTATCCCGGATTCTTGGAAAGTAGGCGTTATAAAACCTTTATATAAAAATAAAGGCGACCCGAAAAACCTGGACAACTATAGAGCGATAAGTCTTGCATCGTGCCTAGGAAAAGTTTTCACGGCTATATTGAATAATCGTTTGAATAAGCTATCTGATGAAATTAACCTTATTAGTGGTGCGCGAGCTGGCTTCAGAAGGAAACATTCTACCGATGATAACATTTTCATTTTACATTCTCTAATATCTATTTATTTTTCACTGGGGAAAAAATTGTATTGTTCGTTTACATTTTAAAAAAGCTTTGGACTCGGTCTGGCGTATCGGATTATGGAAAAAAGTCCAGAAAAGTAATATTACCGGGAAAATTTTGAAAGTCATAATAAATTTGTATGATAACACTAAATCATGTGTCAAACAAGGAAACAATATATCAGGCCTGTTCAATTGTAATGTCTGGGTAAATCCAGGGGAAAATTTATCCCCATTTTTATTTGCAATTTATCTAAATGATTTTTTTCTAGAAAATGATATCAGATGTCTCCAATCAATTAAAAACTTGGGTAATGACATATATATTAGATTGTTTCTTATTTTGTACGCAGATGATACTGTTATAATATCTGAATCAGCAGGTGATTACAATCTGCACTTCACACGTTTCAAAATTATTGTAATGAATGGAAACTCAGTCAACATTCAAAAAACTAAAATTGTTATAAGAAAATATAACACACGAGGTCACTTTTCACTCTGTAATGAAGAACTTGAAATCTTGGAATCTTTCTCATATTTAGGTGCTTTATTTAACTATAATGGCTCTTTTGTCAAAGCAAAGGATAAACTTGCACAACAAGCGAAAAAATCTTTATTTGCTGTGTATAGAAAGATTAGAAACATTTCTTTACCCTTTGATCTACAATTGATATCATGATATCATATCGCTTAATGCAATAATTATTTCATTTGGCGTTTTATAACATTTAGCGTTTTAGCATGCGATATCTCCTTTGCTACACACCATATCAGGAAAATAGCTTATTCATGATATGATATATATGTTTATCATAAGGTACATGCATCAGTCATTATTACATGGAATTCGGGAACAACATTGCTTCATGAACAAATGTCAACTAAGTCCTCTCTTTGTGATATGACATGAATGTATATATCAAATTAATCCTAAGAAGAAAAAACCGAGGACACCTACGCTACATAACAATGAAGTCTTGAAGAAAGAACACCACGCATACCTTTGCCTCGTGCAATGATTAGAGGTCGTAATTACGAGATAGCCAAGTCGTAATTACGAGATAACTATGTCGTAATCACGAGATTCTAAGTCGTAATTACGAGATACCTAAGTCGTAATTACGACTTAAAAAAATTAACTCATGAAAAAAGTGGCACTAATCGGCTTCCGTATTACAGAACATCGATCCGAGATTGCATAATTATGCAGCTATTAAGGACGTACCGCGACGCGCATGCGCAGATTTCTCGCTGCAGGTGAACGATTTCTTTACTTTAGATTATATAGCGGCATTTCAAAAAATGTTAATATATCGTTTTGTAGATAAGATTCCAAAATGAATGCCTTTGATCATTAAGTTTAACATCTCTTCGTTACGTATATATAATGTTTAGACGAAAATTAGTCGCGTCATTTTTTGGTTGAAACTTACACATGAATCTTCTTCATAGTATTTCCAAATTTAACAAAACAACTTCAATGTGAAATAAAAGCAATATTACGACAAAATCTCTAAATGTATGCCCCTGGCTAACAAATATAGAAATTTTCCAACACATTGATATAACTTTGACAAACTTTAATTAAAACATTTTTAGTTGAAAATGGCACATAATTTAAGTTCACGGAAATTGTCTGAGTCCCATCACTGTACAGGTTAACACGGCATCAATGTTACGTGTATCGCTGAGTCATTAAGACGGACTGCTGTAATAGTTATATTGTTTTCTGATCAAAGTACATTTGATATCTTCAAAATAAAAGATTCCGTACGTAATTATGGACATGAATTGTGAAAAATCAACACATTTCCACACAGCGGCAAAGCTATAACCAAAACATAGTTCACTGTATGTGAATATCAACAATCACTGGAGTTTATTTTAATATCTCGGTTATTTTTTTTAATTTTTTTCTACATTTATTTTGTCAATAAGTTTATCACTCTATACATTCCGTTCATGTTTATATATAATGCAATTTCGAAGTTATATGTACAGTTTACTACTGGCATTTGTAACCATTGGTGAGAATTTATACTGACCGATTCACTTACAGTAAATAAAACAATAATGACGAATCATGTAAGTATTGTTGAAGAAGTGTACAATGTATATTTTAACGAGAAGTGTATGATGCAGACATGATCATAACACAGATATTCCTTCTTGATCTCGTTTTATCTGGGTTCAGAATGTTTTCATATACTTTCGGGAATTCTAATTTCTCAGTCAATGTCCATATTTATTAACTGATTGGTATAAACAGTTCCGTGTCAATAACTATCGGACGTAGTGACCTTAGGTAATGACCATAATGAAAATTGTTGTACTGTGGAAAGTTATACAACTCCACTTTAATAGTCAAGTGCACGCACCTTTGTACATATACCTATATAATTATGTAGGGAGATACTGAGTAACTCCAGAAAAAATCTCCTAAATCGACAATTCATCATATACCATGGATAATTTTATCTTATAGTAACTATTTTCTCATCTGTGCATAGCTCATATTTGAGATGTTTGTCTATGCCACCCCAAAATGGCCATTGTACCACTAGGCTCATCATCATTAAGTTTATCCGTGTCCAGGACATAGGTACTAATTGCTATATAAGCCTCAGGGCAGTTGACTTTTTTTTTCAAAATCCCAATCTCCCCACCGTCATTTCAGATATGACGTGATAATGAACGGCCAATTATAAATTTACAACTAAGGGGGTGCTACACGTGGTAATTTCCAAATTTCACGATTGCTGCATTGTTTCAATCATTGAAGTTAACCACGCATTATCAAGCAGTACCTTTTCCTTCCCAATCTGACCAACATGATCAAATAGAGACATTTACGTCTCAGATTCAAAATTATAAACAGGCATTGTTCACAGGGACATATTACAACGGATAGTAGATGCTTTTCTGGTGTTCGCTTTTGTGTCTGATCATTGAGCCGTGGAAGACCTCCGTTTGTTAGTTACCTGAGCCCTACAGAACTACAAAATATATGCTGTCTTAGCACTGAACGTCCTGACCAGAGCCAAATTGTCGAAAAGTGAAAAGGGAATCTTATTTTCGTAACAAAAATAAGACTAATAAATAAAAAATTATTTTAAAAAAATCTAAAGTAAGCAGAAAGTAATTGTAACAAAAGTTAGCGAGATCAGAGACGTATATAACACGTCTCTGGCGAGATCAAAACTATATGAGGATACACATCATCATACGTTTGACCACATCTGTGACATAATTCAACTATGTTTACATTTCTTATGGATACAAGAAGTTTCATAATGCTAACTATGGATTCCTTATTCTGAGGAAACTTAATTAATAGCTTCCACAATATGTGGGGAGCCAGTTTATTATGAATTAATTTAAAATTACAGAACTCGCGGTCATCATCCATTCTTTCTTTCCACGAGTTTTCTTCGTGTGAATGAACAGTACATTTTACCTTGTTCTTCCATTTACTTTTTGAAGGGAATGATCCTCGTGCTTAACATTCTTTTACCATTTCATACAGATCAATTTTTTTCTCAAAACTCGAACATTCAAATTATTTGAACACGGATTGTATGTTATCACGGTTCAAGTTCGAAATAAAGTCCGACATGTTAAGTGTGTAACCTCTATGTAGGCTACAACACAAACCTATATAACTACGGCTGTACTGGTTTCCGAGTAAAATGGTACCTACTAAAATGGATAAAATCACTCATCAATGACTAGCCCCATTCTACCTGTGGGCTCTCGTGCCTACGACTCGACAAGCACTACGGAGACATAACCCATTTAGGCGGTCTAATTTGTGACGTCATGACTGAACCATAAGCTTACGAAAGTTGATTATATATATATACAGGGACGTATATAAACATGTGTAATATAGATTTATTGCATGTTACACCATACTGTTCGCATACATGTATCTAATATATATATAATATGGGCAATTTAAACAGCGAAAGTGATCCATTTATATTTTGTGATTTTTTTTTTTGCAAATGGATCAATCAATCTGTTTCCTGAGCTATCTAATAAAGTTGAAACACAGCGAATAGAGACGGTATACATATAAATGTACACATACAATAGTAAAAAAAGAATGATAGCAAATTCTGGCCTCTTTGAGCGCACTGTAGAATATATGACGTAAAAATTAACAACTTTTTTTTTCAAAAGTTGGATTTTTATTGTCTTGTGAAAAATAGGCATTATTTTTACTAGTGACATGTAACACGTTCCTATATATATGTATATCTACATGTACAGTTGTGTAGAATATTATCCATGCCACATCTACATGCACCTGTACACGAACATAAAAAGTGAACATTTTAGAACACATGCCTATGTATACTACACATTGTACGTACACTAGTATCGTAAATTATCATTTTACAATGTAGTATTATGGAAATATTCGTTATATGTCTTAAGAACATGTACATTTAATCTATTTTTATAGCAATGACAGTTGTTATCAACTCTGTTTGTATCAAAAAGATTGTATCATGAAGAAACAGAGAGCAAATATTGATAAAGTACCATATAAGGAAATAATAACAACAAGGAGAACAGATGTAAACAAATGCACGTGGTTTCTTATCACGAATCACCCAAACGTTTATTTTCAAAGTATTTCTTCTCTTCATTTCCAAGCTTCAAAATCACCATGTTTTTGAGGAGTTAACCCCATTTTGCTGCAGCTGGACGACCAAGACTCGGACAACTCAGTTCATGATGACGGACACAAACTTAACCGCCATTCTCTACAAGAAAGGTGACATCAAATTGGTGAGTACGCAAATAATCACTCGGAGATAAACGGAACTTTATTGCAGTATATAATTCTAAGTCGATGCAGATGCGAGTTCACGCAGGCTAGCCAACAATATTCTCGACTCCCTTCGGCTGTCACGAGCTTATCGCCGTACGAGTAACTCTGTGATATCAGAATGGTCCACGACAGTACATGTACAACACACATGACACAGGCATCTATATCTGGAACGTAAACAACTCATGCAAAAATTCAGTGCTCTGTTCATCATACTAAACAGTGGACTGGGTTATTGATTAAGTTGTTTACGTTCCGTTCCAAATTAAGGTGTCCGTGAAGTAGGTCACTGGCGCATTAAGCTTCTGACAGTTGGCACAAAACTTCAGAAAATAGAGCTACCGACATGAGGCCTCATATAGAGTAGGGAAAATGCTTGAATGTCTTATTTGAGTAGGGCCATTCATTGGTCACTCAAAACTGAATTTGACCCCACAGCCCACTTTGTTTTTGATATTGGCAAAACCAAAATATTGCTAAAAATAACCAATTTCTTTCAGCCCTCATGATTTTCCTTGTTGTACAGTACTGTGACATTCTATATACCTTTGTCTACAAGTACTTTTTACCAAAATATCTATTACTCGTGCTGAAAAGTTGAAAGGAACTTGTACAAAATGTATTATTCATATTTATATCAGTTTTACAAGCTGAACATTGTCCCCCCCTAAAAAAAGGAAAAAAAGTCACATGTAAAGAAATGTTTAAAAAAGTCACCGACTTACAAAATCTAAGAAATAACTGCAGTTATCATTTATATGTAGAAATAACAAATCTGTATGTTAAATTTAGAACAAATCTTGTAAAAGGACAAAGGAAATCATTGTCAGAAATTTTGAAATAAAAACATAAGAAATGTTTGGTAAGAAGTTTTCTGTAAGCTGACCTTAAGTTAGCGTTAGGTTAGGGCAGGCTATGAAGATGCCTCCTTTAATTCTATCCCACAGATAAGTCAACAAACAAGAACGATAGTGTCTTCTTGTTAGATAAGCTATCTTAAGTTTGACCTGGACCTAATTTTAGGTTTAAACAAGACGCTGTGAATTTATGAAACAACCGTTACAAATCTCGGTCAACTTCAAAGTGACATTGATATGATGTATGTATTAAATACATATATTTGGATATTCTGTTTTTCCATTTTGTTTATTGATTTTTAATTTAATTCTGAACTCAAGAATACTGAATGACTTTAACCATCCTTACCATTCCATTTTTTTATGTTTGCAATTATTGATGTTGTTGATAGTTTGAAAATAAATTTGAAGAGTTGAGTTTTATTTACTTGTTAGAAAGGAATGATTTCATTTCAATTTTTTAAAAAATACATTAAGATCTTTGAACTTAATGAGATGAACGTCTTGCAATGAATGATGGATTTCAAATGGTTGAAAAATGTTCATATATATTTATAGAAACTGGTTTAAACCTTATCTGGGACTACCAGAAAATATGTATATTTAATAGAAATTATTTGAAACTTGTCGTTAAGCAAAGATTACAAGACCAGTTCATACAAAAATGGTTCAGTGATGTAATTAATTCCTCTCGAGGAAATACCTATTGTATAATGAAAAGTAATTTTGAAATAGAAAAATATCTTTTGAAAATTATACCTAGAGAAAGACAAATTATCATTAAATTTAGAACTTCAAATATGCATTTACCTGTAGAAACAGGAAGATGGATTGGAATACATAGGGAGAACAGAACTTGTAATCTTTGCTCAAATGAAATTGGCGATGAATACAATTATCTTTTTAGATGCGATCATGGATCAGTTCGTAGAATTAGAGATCAGTTTATCCCACCTTACTATTCTACTTATCCTAGTATTACAAAAATGCATGGACTTTTTTCTGTATGTAATGTTAGAGTTTTATCAAATCTCAGTAAATTTCTTGAAAAGCTTGCTAATCTATTGAATGTACGTAGCTAAAATAATATCATGTATATAATTATTGACCGCCATGCCAAGAATTTTTTTTTTTTTTTTTGTAATCTGACCTCTTGTAACATACTTTGTATGTCTGAGAGTACCAATAAAATCTGAAATCTATTAAATATCAAATATTGAAAGAAATGCTGTCTTATAATTAACAAGAAAATGATTTCATGAAAACATACACTTTTTTTTCACCTTTTTTTCAGGAAGATATACCAATCCCAGAACCAGGCCAAGGAGGTATATTTCTACTTTCTTCATATTACTTTCATATCTAATAATTTTCAAGAAGATGTCAATTAATGGCGGTTATTAGAAATATTACAATGAAAAAATTTGATTCAATAACTGAATTGTTGAGAAATGAAAAAATCGCAAGAATATTCATTTATATAATTGCACATATGTTTTAAAACAATTTTTCCAAGTAAATAAGATCTTATCAATTATTTCTTCGTAAAAGACCTTTTGATATAAAATTATGATTGCTCAAAGATAAGGGTAGATGACTTGTTATTAAGGATGCTACCTGCAACTAAAAGAAATTGCTACTTGTAGGTGATACTATGCACACTGTAAACAAATAAATGCTTTTTAGTTATGTGACCAGTCTATACACCAAATTAGATGTAAATATATCTATCATTTTACATACCTTCTTCTCCAGATCATATTTTCCATGAATTCATCATTTGGCAAATGTTGATCAAGAAATTATTTTTAATTCACAAATGATGTAATGTTATAGAACTGGACTTTAGCAAATATCCAGTATCATTAACTGTGACTTCATGTCTACAGCAATTTTGTTTATGGGAGTCATGTGACTACATACCTGAAAAGATTTGAATTTTTTTATCAGTTTTCTTTGTTGTCATTTATATACCAGTATATATATATATATATATATGTTCGCTTTAGATGGCCTTCGGCATCCATTGGCCAAAAGGATTATCAAGACAACTATATTTGTATTTGTTTTATGTTCCATGTATGTGATGTAATTTATGTAATACTTGATAACGACACAGGTTGCCTCGAAAATTTGACAATTTGCTTGTCCGTACTGTTACTATTACTTCATTGATCTATCCCAGTAATACACATCCAACAAACATTTGTTTGTTATGATCCAGTACGAATATTGAACCACACTTACCTGTGACAGACAGAAAGTCTTGTGAAAAAAATAGTTTCAAGTTTCACTGGGGAAAAGACTGCTTAAGCTTACTGGTATTATGTCAAGTAAACACTCTCACATATTTGACATTTGATACTATTCTTATTTTTGAAATTTTATACGCCCGTCGAAAGACGGACGTTTTATGGTATGGCGCCGTCCGTCCGTCCATCGTCCGGCGTCCGTTGTAAACTTTTATTTGTCCGGAGATCTTCTCCCCTCCTACATTTTTCAGCCGATCTTTATGAAACTTATTAGGCTTAATCACCATGATATGAAGTTGTGTTTTCCTGAATGGGGTTTTGATTAGACGATTTGAACAAGAGTTATGGCCCTTTGTTTATTTCACTTTAGAAATCTTGTCCGGAGATCTCCTCCAACATTTTTCAGCCGATCTTTATGAAACCTGGTAGGCTTAATCACCATGATATGAAATTGTGTTTTCCTGAACGGGGTTTTGATTAGACGATTTGAATAAGAGTTATGCCCCTTTGCTGTTTTAGATATTCACAGGCGTATTTTGTTCCGCTTTGCAGTACTCTTGTTCAAAATGTTTTACTTTCTTTTCTATATTCACAGACTTTTTAAAAAGATTTGCGATAAAATATGTATTCAAATTGCAATGCCTATTAATTTTGTCATTGGCAGATGTGTGTTGTTTACAATTAATGGAAAATCTAAAACCTGTCTGGAAAGAATATGGCAATGCAAGCCTCAGGTTCTTCAGAATCATGCTCTTTCCCTCTGGTTTTAAGATTTTCCTGTCCATGGAACCCAATCGTGTAAAATTCTATTTGATCAAGTGTGATCTCATATTATACAGTTCATCTTAATAGTGAAAACTACAGATAAAGTATGTTATATGTTTTCTGTCTTTCCCACTCCACACAATATCAAAGTTACCAATATAACTTGAATTCAAAACATTCCCTCACCTACTCTACTGTCCAAAAGCTATACCAAGCCTTACAAGGCCCACATAAAACAATTGTATGTCTTTTGAGATTTATGCCTGAAATTTTATATCTAAAAATTTTGATGATCAGGTTTTTAATCAGAAAATATCTAGTCACAATCTGTGGATGAAATATAATATCATAAACTTGTATTGAAGATTAAATATGTTTTCCTAAAAGAGGTCCAGTTATGTATGCAGCAGGTCGGAATCTGTGGGTCAGATGTCCACTACTGGCAGCATGGCTCCATTGGTGATTTCATTGTCAAGGCACCAATGATACTAGGACATGAAGCCAGTGCAGTGGTCAGTAAACTTGGTGAGGGAGTTACTTCACTGAAAGTTGGTAAGTAAAAACATGTCACTGAATCATGGTGTGAGATTATATTTGCTTAATAAATTGTGTTTCTTTTAATTTAAAAAATTCTCAAAAGTGCATTTATTTAAATAAAGTAAATTCTTGAAGAATTTAATGTCACTTAAATCTTTTCTAGGTGACAGAGTCGCTATAGAGCCAGGTGTACCATGTCGAATGTGTCGTTTCTGTAAATCTGGCCGCTACAATCTCTGTGGTGACATGAAGTTTTGTGCCACACCTCCATATGATGGTAACCTTTCACGTTTCTACGTCCATGCAGCTGATTTCTGTTTCAAGTAAGAATAAAAAATCATTATTTTATAGAAATAGTTGAACATATTTGACTTTGTGGATAAATGCAAGTCTGTAATTGTTTATATACTAATTATTACAGTTCGTAGATAAATGAATTCATGGGTGAAGCATTCCTATAAAGTAAATGAAATTAATCATCCATGAAAATTTATGATTTTATGATGATTGTATAAAAGACTCTGTTTTGGAAAAAGCGTAAGGAAAATTGTTGGTTGGTACATGGAAGCTATATTTGAACTACATGTATTTATTTTCATTTTCTATAACTGAATTACATATTTATCTCTTAGCCCTATCAGTATCTGTTCATTTATTCAATTATTTGTTCTATCTTTGTGACTTAAATGACTTGTTGATTGGTAAACAATCAAACAAATCTTGGTCACAACGATATATTATTAATTACAGGGATTATGGAAAAGTATTACCAGTCAACCCCTCCCTACAAAATAAAAAATAAAAAAAAGAAAAATGTGTAAACTGATTAAGAGGACAATTTTTTTTACATGATATTGAACCAAGTTAATTGGATATATTTTTAAAGATTACCAGACAATGTGAGTTTTGAAGAGGGTGCCCTGTTGGAGCCCTTATCTGTCGGGGTTCATGCTTGTAATAGAGGTGGGGTAACGCTTGGGAGCAGGGTACTTGTCTGTGGGGCAGGTAAGTGTGGATTATCTCCCTTATGCATGTATGTTTAGACCTCAATGGGTTACCTAGATCCAGAGCATATTGACTTGTAGGTCTTTATTGTCCCCCTTTCTACAAAAATGTCTGGTGTTTGGGGTGTACTTTTCTAAAACACAAATAAAGGCATTTAAAGCTAAGATTTATATAAATTGAAGATAAGTTATCAAGATATGATATCAAAATAAGATATCAAAACAAGTTCCACCATTCATCTGATGTAATATAGAGTTTTATTGATCATTGTTTCCAAAATGAACCAGCAATGTGATCACTTATGATCACAGAAAAATGACTCAAACTTCCATCAAATGTATTTGTAGTTCTTAGATTGGTATTTATATATATATATATATATATACAGTATATTCTTTATCTTATATTTGGAATCTTGTCCATGAAATAGAAGGAGAATAACTGGTGTAATAGGTCATTTTCTATTAATTCTTTCCAGGTCCTATTGGGTTGGTCAATCTTTTAACAGCTAGGGCTAATGGTGCTTCAGAGGTGTGCATTACAGGTAAGGGGAGGCTACTCAAATAAATGGTTGTAAATATTTTACATTGAGCTGTGTAATTCCAATTGTGCATTGTGAGTCAATAATTTTTAAAATTGCTTCACTATCAATCAGAAACTCACTTTATTTTCTCATTATCTTTGCATTTATTAATTGAACTATTTATCTTCAAAGTACAAATTTGCTCTGTTGTTCTGCAAAATTTCCACAATTTCTACATAAATTACTCATCAGTAAAATACTCCTATTTATAGCCTGTATTCAAATATGGAGAATTGAGCATTTCAAAATCTGTTTAAAGGCGTAAAAATGTAGATAACAGAAAAGAAATTATTTTCTATGAATGTAAACATTTTTATATAAAATCATATTGTAATTCATATCAGCTGCCCCTGAGAAATAAACAACAGTCGCGATGAATGCTTATATTTTGTAAAAGCATTCTTACTTGATATATGTGTTGGAACTGCTATCTTCTACATCATAATGGTGTTCTATTGAAAAAAATTAAGAAAAAAAATTCTAAAATGCATCTTGAAGCAGGTTAATCAATGAAAACTATGTGTTACTATTGGCCTCAACCATTTTTAAGTTGGCGTAAAGTGGAGCTTTGTCAGTTTGTCATGTCATGTTCAGAATCAATGTCTTGTATTGAGATATTTTCAAAAGATACCTGTATGTATGGGAGTAGGGTGATTCATGTCTGATACATTTCCTAGTCATGATTTATATATAAATGTATAGAACTTTCTTATCTATACAGATATTGCCGAATCCCGCTTGGAGATAGCTAAACAATTAGGTGCCACATTCACTCTTAAAGTATCAAGTCGGGATCCTCAGGTAGTGGCACAGCAAGTGGAAGAAGTAATGGGAGGCAAGCCTGAGATCACGATCGAATGTAGTGGGGCCACACCAAGTATACAGACAGCTATATATGTATGTAGTTATCTCCCTTGTTTTTATTATACACCTGTATACTTAACAAACATGTATAGTTATCTCCCCTTTGTTATTGTTTTAATTGACAATTAAATACTTCTCTCTTTGTTATGCTGCAAGTATGTTTATGTTCAGTTGTCTCCCCTTGTTTTACTTTTTAATTTTTTACTTATTTATCTCACCTTGACAGATACAATTACCTATCTGTTCAGTTATTTTACCTTATTTAATCTACAATTATATTTCCAATTCTTCAACAAGTTTTGTTCTTTTTGTAAGCATGATAATAAGTGTTATATTCAAGGTATATCTGTCTTTGATGTAGTTTTTGTTACAGACATCAAAACATACTGACAAATGTATTTTACCTACCCCCAACCTTAGATATTGTTTACATGAGGTGAAATCAGATTTTTGGTTTCAAATTCTTTATAGCATTCCTTGCTTGATTTTTTATATGTAAGTAAATTAAGATTATAATTTCAGACATTTGTTCATTAAACAAGTTTGAATAATTATTATATATTCAGTTATTTTACAACATATAAGATTGGAAAACAGGCTTAGATATTATACTTATTCCTTTCCAAAACATTTTTGTTATTAGTACTCTTTGCTAAATTTCTATGCAGAAAGATTCTTCTCAGTTTTTTTATTTTTTTTTTTTTTTTTTTTTTCAAATTTTTCAATTTTGTTAAGATATGTATCAGGTACAGTTAAATGTTTTGATTTTTTTTCAGCATTATCTGTCTTTTATTGTTTCCATTATGAGGTTTCATCAAATTTCTAGGTTTTAAAACTTTGTTGAATTCCTTTTGCTTTTTAAGGCAACCCAATCTGGTGGTTGTGTGGTGTTGGTGGGTCTAGGCCAAGCAGATGTTACCATGCCAATTGTCAATGCCGCAGTTCGAGAGGTTGACATCAGAGGGATCTTCAGATATGTCAACTGGTAAACACATACAATTAAACTTCATTAACTCAAATTCTGATAATCAAAGACCATGTATAATTTTAAGTATTTCATCATTCTGGGTTAAACTTTACAGTAAATATTCAAACTTACTTAAATCAAATGCACATATAACTTGAAATTTTCCCATGGTTCTACTTTTGAGGTTAGACTGTATTTGTAGCAACTTTTAAACAAAAATCAAAAACTTTTGTTAATGGACAGTGATGTGAATATGAGGTGTCTAGCATGCTATGATTTATTCCTCCAGGCAATAGATGTTAGACAATTTAAATCCATCATGTTATGGACAGTTTATCTAAGTGTTCACACTCAAGTCTATTTAAAGTTGACCTTGTAGAGAGGTGTTAAGAATGGTCATATTTGGCATGGGACTTCTTTACACAATATCAGAAAAAAAAAACCCACAAAAAACTGAAAGTTGGAAGTTGAAATTAAAGTTTTTTATTTCTCTTTCAATCGGATGAATTTGAAAGGTTGAGGAATAATATCTATTGTGTATATTGGGTTTGAAAAAGACTCTCTATCTATATGAGACAAAATATGATTCAGGAGAATGTATTTTGAGATTTTTTTGTGAAATTTTTTAAACGTTTATGTAAAACTTATTTTACAACTAGGACAATATGACAGGCTTTTGGTAGAGTGTTTCATTATTTGTTGTCCGTTTTTAATGAGAGTTATCTCCCCTCTAACATAAAACTGACAGTTTTCGACCATGTCTTGTAAATGTGGAAGGCAACTTTAAGGTTCACCTTTGAGATTTTGAAAGCAAGTTCTTTATCAAAGTAATCAGTATCAAAACTCACTTTTTTTAGTTGGAGTTGAAGTGACATGCCATATGTTGGTCGCAATATTTTACATTTCTGTTGACATACATGTGTTTGATCTCAATGTCATTGTTTCAATAGATTAAATTCTGATAAGAGTTTGAACACATGATATCACCTTACAGGAAAACAACAACATCCACAACTTGTCAACAGAATCCAAACACTCAATTTATATTTAAAGTGCCAAGGTCATAGTTCAAATTACTATTTTCAGCAAATATTTTCAGACGATAAAACTATTTATAAAATCATATTATCTAACATTTTCTTGTATTGGAAACGTTTAATTTAGCACAATCAAATTTCAATTCCTTTTCAAATTTTTATGTCCCCGGCCTTAAACTGGAAAAGGTAGGGATGGGGATGTGTATAAGCATATATTGTCACCTATGTCTGTTCCTTCTGTCCTGTTCCATCCTGGTTTAATGTATGACCTTGCAACTTCATTCTGTGACAGATTTTAGTCAAACTTTATACAATGGTCAGTTATGGGTTTACTTTGCTAGAAGTTTTCTGCTGAAATATATATGTATTTGGAATTATTTTGAGAGAAAATTTAGGATTAGTTTTGAAACTTCAATTTCCTTTCTTTTCATTTTAAACATTTACTGGTGTTTTTTACCAATAAATACCAAATTGATGTAGTTCTGTTGTATGTGGAAATAGTATTAATTATATTTATGGCTGTTACATAGAATGTTAGAAAAAAAAACTTTGATCAATTCAGCTTTAAAAAAAGCAACTTAAAGCAACCTTATTTTGACATTAGTTGAAAATTTTGAGTTTCAGTGATGTATGTAGTTTAAATGAAACATTATATTTATTTCCATGATATGAATTTCTATTGATTTTTGTTTACAAATATATAAAATAGAAATCTGCGTTTTTTTCTTTGTAGCTATCCAACAGCATTAGCAATGGTGGCTTCTGGGAAAGTTGATGTTAAACCATTGATAACACACAGATTTTCATTGGAGGATTCTATCAAAGCTTTTGAAACGACCTTGAGAGGTGAAGGAATTAAGGTCATGATCAAATGTGCTCGATAGGTGTTATTCAACTTTTTGTTGAAAATGTGGTAACTTCGAACTGTATATGATTTTTCAATTGTACTGGTTTCTGTTTTTGCATTTACAAAGCACATGTATAAACCAGATGTTGTCAATATATTTCTAAGGTGTTGATTCATGATTCATAAGTTGATTTGTTAAGAATTGGTAGATCTGGGACATCATCAGAATCAAATTAGGGCGTTTTTTTAATTACAATGATTTTTTTAAAAATAAAATGTGACTGATTTTATTAAAAATTAGAAAGATAATATCTAATATTGATCACAGAGGAATATTGAAATATGAACATTTAATTACAATTATTTTAATAAGATGTGTGTATTTAAATGGAATCAAAAGATGGTTTGATATGATTTTACTTCCTATCATGATGTCTGCATTTGGAAGGTATGAAATTAGCATAAATGCTGTAATTCGGACAGTATTCCGTTTGACGTGGTTTCTATGACTCAATTATTTAATGAATATGACCAATGATGAGAACGATTGAAATCAGTGATTATAATGATTAAATGCCATAAATATGATATATATCCTATTTAATAATCAGCAATAAATATGATAATCATTCCTAATTAATATTTTGTGTCAATGTTTATCCAATCAAAACAAATATTCTTGTATTCTGATTTAAGAATTAAACTATTTTAAATCACATTTCAATTTCATAAAAAACTTTCATTCTCGATACTCCAGTGGTTTAAATCACTTTCGCCCTCTGCGCCACTGAAACATGTTTTGGCGAAATTGAAGGCACAAGTGGAGTATTTAATTGGTTCTAGGAAAAAAGTGACCAATCACAGACTGATGCGCTCCTTTTGAAAAAAATCAAAGGAGCAAAAACCAACTTCAACGCCGTTGCAACATACTGTTTCACGACCTCGAGATTCGTTTGATGCACATCAGAGGATCGAACTAGTTTTTCGTCTTGTCCACAAGGTGTCGCACATGGAAACTTCAAGTTTGCAATGACATGTTTCAGGGTTGCAGAGAGCGAAAGTGATTGTAATCCGTGGAGTATCGAAGATGCAACGCTACTAGCTTTTTTCAGAAATATGTTTTTTCGTTTGGCATTTTCAGAAATGTTCCTAAACGTCTGACATTTTCTAAAGTTTGTATAGTCATCTTGAGTTGCTGGAATTATTTCTTGTTATCTGGCTAGTTGTGTGGCATATCAGGAATTCTGGCATTTCTAGAGATTCGCCTAGTCGTTCTGATATTTCCGAAAATCGGCGGGGCATTTCTGAAAGTTTTCTGAACGCCTGGCATTCGGAAAGTTTCTAAACGTCTTGTATATCCGGAAATTGGTCTTTTCATCAAGCTTTTCTAGAAACTTTTCTAGTCATCTAGCATTTTCTGAAGCCTTTCTGGTCGACTGGAATTTCTCGATGAACGTCCGGTATTGGAAGTCTCTCTTGTTTTCTCATTTCTACTAAACGTCTGTCCAGTCGTTTGACATTCCTGGAAGTCATGTTATAGGACAACCCCGATGAAAACGGCAAACTGGTAACATTTACTCGGTGAGAAATATTCAATTTCTTTCAGCGTTATGAAGCTGTACGTGGTTGATGCTCTTTATTTTGCTTGTTGCTACCGTTGTACACATTGTTCTCATACATGGATTGATCAAACTGTTTATGACGGGTGTCGTCGATGGAGTAGAAGACGCTTACTCTTCTCGAACACTTGGTCTTAGTCTTTTTGTACTTTTTTCAGGAGTCTCTAAGTAAATCTTTCTTTTGTTCAGATCATGTCTCAGTTTGATTGAAATTCCACCGCATTAAAAGTTTCACCGCATGAAAATTTTCATCTCATCAAACAATCGAGACGAAGTGCAATGAGATGTTCGAGAAGATTAAGCGCCTTCTTCTTTGATATAAGTAGTCGATTTCGCGTTGTTATAGATAATTAAGGTCACCTACAACAAAACTCGCCGACTTGGTAACGAGTTTGGGACACATAGTCTTCATTAACCCGCATCTCTAGCCGTTCACCAACTCCAGACTGATGAAAAAAGTTGATAGAGCGTCAGAATAAATCGGACTACCCGCATCTCTGAAAAAAAAACGGTTGTGTAAATGTTTATCTGTCAGCTAATGTCGTGTTTCACGGAAATCGTGATTTTGGGAACAAGCCATTGAATAGCTTATCTACTTGGACACTATAGGTTTTGGGAGCAGGCAGGCTACCGTCTGAAATAGAAACCTCACCACTTGGGAAATCCAAATCAATACCCTTATCATACAGCTTTTCGGGAATCTGATCTTCGCTGTAGAAAAAAAGGTGGCTATTATTTCTAATCAAGGGAGGTAGATGCGATTGACATGGTCAATCAATGTTAGATTTAGAATTGTAGCAATACATGGAGCCAATGAAACTTTAATTGATAAGATGTAGAATGAATATCATGTGCCATTGGATTCCGGGCAAATTAAAAAAACAACACTTCTGATCCTGACTTGGGGATATTCATATTGTGGACACATGTTACCCAATCTCTAAACTTTAAGTATTCTATTGAAACATACAGAGCTAAGTTATTGATTTCCACAGTCAGCTTTTTATTGCAAACCTAGTTCCATCTTCAAAGTACAAGGGTTTCGCTCTAAAATTTGCATACTAGCATGTACCTGGGGTTTTGAAAGGATGACAGTTACGGTACTGTACCTATCATTTTAAAGATTGAATGAAGTGAACCTACCTCGCTTCCTTCGTATTATATGAGGATTCTGCTAGTCTTATACTGAGACGTTTGATTAGTACCATGTTTCGCTATTTTGGAGGATAGAACAAACTTGATAGAATAGATCCTTGAACAGGATATAAACAAGAGATAACCACAGTCCGTTCAGGGCTTCCATCGGAGATTGTATAAATTACACAAGTCGACAGCACATTTTGATAACGAATTATACTATATCACAGCTGTTCAGTCCTCCTAGGACTCGTAAGTGATACTAAGGGTCTAAACATTTGAAACCTAGGAAAACCTGCAAGTACGCAAGAAATGTTAAACTCTATATTGGGAGGAACATCAGCCCCAAAATTAAATAAATTTCGGAATTTTCACACATACGTGATAATTTCCATAGAATATCAGGTATACTTGTATGCAAATTACAGAAAAAACGCACCGACCACCAGCATTGTCTATAACCTGCAATCTCAAAGAACAGCATTTGGTGAAGAAGCCTCGAGAATTTTAACGATCTACAAACACACTATCAGTAATCATCCTGTCAGGTTACTTGTACCTCTGAACACCACAAAACAACCATATGTTGGAAATGTAGGATACGAAAAACATGACGCTATGAATCAAATTGCTTTCAAAATTTGTAATATCTTCTCTTGTTAGGTTGCTACACTCTTGAGAGAACCCCAAGACGCATTAAAAAGGAAAGATTGTCTTGTTTATGCAGACAGGTGGAATATAAACGTAATCTTATAAAAAACACAAAACAAAATAAAAAAAACGGCACGAAACAATTTCGAAATTTGAATAGAAACATGGAATACGAAAATATACATTTGTGCATCAAATGTCAAACAAAAGAAACATGAGAAAACGTCGATTTCGTAATCAATTTCCTTCCTACGCTCGTGACAAAAATCTTGCTGAAATCAAACACGAAATGTTTTTTATGTCAGACAAAAACATGAGGACATTAAGGCTTCCTGTTATGGCATGTCAGACTTGGCCGGGAAGAACCGGTCGCGAAATGAATCAATGGTGATGAAATTTGTGTCTAGGAATTCGGAAATAACGCCGCATAGAGTATAATGAAGAGGCCATTTCGATATGGAGCCACCGAGTACAGCTTTTGTACATGGTGATACACAAATATGGCGATCACTGCATGCTTTGGGTTTCGGACTAGATCATTCAAGAGGGTATTTGGAAAAACATGGACATTGAAAATTCTGCCCCTCCATGTTTATTTATTTATTTTGAGGTTTTCACATGAAAGATTCTGACATGTTTGAGACAACCTATAGGAGATGTACGTTTATGATTTTCAGAATTTTCTCCTGTGCTCTGAATATTATTTTAATACAAAGTCAGTATCTTTGTGACGTATAAAACCAACGGTATCGCATAATGGAATGGAATTTTAAGGGACAATTCGCTAATATTTGACTTGCGCAGTAATTATGTGTATTTCATAGTAATGCATAATCGATGCTAGCCACGTGCGCATTGAATTTGAGACCACCAGGTTTACCTTCAACACAACAGGGTGTGGCGACAACGATATCGTATCACCTATCTAATGTTTACACTCCATAAGTTCATGTTCACAAATAATGCTACAGATTTGTAAACAGGCTAATTGCTAATGTTCAAAATCTGGTCCGAAATCAAATTCACGAATAAAAAAGCACAAAATCAAACCCTTTTAAGGAAAAATAACGAAAACTCACGAAGAAATAGCTGCTCGAAATACGTCTTTACAGGTTATAATGGATTTCGTTTATTTACAAGTATTCCGAATGACCATAATTTCTCATGGGTTTGTTAGTGGTCTTTGCTCATGATGGTTAACTTCCTTAACGTATTTCCAATCTCCTTGTTCTAACGTCCTTATACTTTCTTTAAGCGCACTCATAAGTTTGCACAATGCATTATTTCATAACAATTCATACTCATACTCTGCTTTTCATACAAGTTGGCATTTCTGTGCTTTTCACGAGCCGAAAGTGTTCAAAACGACACAATGAAGAGATCGTAACCTTTATAATTTTGTGAGTCGGTTATTATTGAATCTGTGAGAAACAAGTTATCATTTCAGTATTTTGTTTTTAGTAATACTGCCTTCAACGTTGCATTATTTCTACCTTTCTGCCATAGGATACTTCTGAATACGAATCTTAAGGGTAGGTACATACTGGAAGATGGAGGACACGATGTTCTTGATGTTCTAAAATAATCAACTATATGAAAATTGCGAAATTTATTGAAAGATATGACTAGTGCACCTTTCCATCTAGGTTTTGACATCTGTCCATCGACTTTTCGGATTTTCCTCACCTCCTAGGCTTTAAAATTTAGGCCCTTAGTATCACTGACCTAGAAGGAGAAACAGTTTCATCATCCAGATATGAATTCGCTGGTTATCTCTACTGTAACTCTTAATTTGTATTAAAAGGTGCTATTCATTTATGTGTCTTTTGTACAATACGTAGAGCGTTGGTATACCTAACGTCAGGTGAAGATCCGAAGTGCGTGGTTCGACACTCCCTGCTTGTGTGAATCTCTCGGGAAGCTGAGAAACAGACCGGTCTGTGGTGACATGGTTATGTCTTTTGGCAAGATACTTTACCCTAGCTGCTCCGAGTTGCATTCTACGGTCTTCCATGCTCACTTTGAAGCGGAATCTCCTTGCAGTATATGTTGGGCTACCTCAGGGAACAACATACGGACGATCCGTCACGGATTTGAACAGATTTTACAAGTCTCACCGTCTTAGTTTATGACCACTTGTATTTGTTGTACTCCTGGGCGTTTCTAATTTTGAGGATTTTCATCAACTATGTACTCTTA